GTATGCGTTCTCAAATGAATTTTCAACCTATTTGTTTGCCGAAACTGCTTTAAACAAATTTCACACTTGTAAGGTTTTGCTCCAGTGTGCGATCTCAAATGTGTTTTTAAATTCACTGCTTCACTGCGAAGCAGAATGCTAGATTGTTCGCTTATGTAGAGGAACAGTTTCGGGTGCATTAATGTAAAACTACTCGTTACACACCAAGTACACGGTTCGATTTAAAGTAAAAGTCTAATGTTAGCAAAAACTTTTATTAACTAAAAATAAAATGTTTTCATATTTCAAAATATAAATATTTCAAAAATAAAATGTTAGTTACACTCAGAAAACAATGAAAAGCATATTTCTTATATGTTCACACATAAGTTCAGCAAATCGAACTCTGTCGGACTGGCTTACAAAATAAAGCAGCATAATCTAAACAAATAGTTCTGAATTGTCTTACGAAGAAGAATTTTGTTTATACTAACAAACCAATAATAACCTTGCTTACTGTCATAAATAAAATTTTCACGACCATCATACTGAAAAGATTAACAAAGTTGAGTTTCGAGCTAATCAAGCAGGCTTTAGACCAGAATCCTCCTTTATACACCACATTTATACTGTGAGGGTAATAATGGAACAATCGGTTGAATGCAACACACCCCATATCCAGCGTTTGTCTTGATTTTGAACGTGCTTTTGACAGCTTGTCTCATGCTGCTGTATGGAAAATTTTAGAGCAAGAAACATTCCGCAAAAAATAATTTCTATTATAAAGTCACTATATACTGATGCAAAATGCAGGGTGACATAAAATGGGATCTTTACGTACTTACTGGAGTTAGACAGGGATGCGTGCTTTCTCCGTTTCTTTTTAACATAGCTATATGTTCTCTCCAAACTAAACTCCGACACAAGAGGGATACAATGGACGTTAACCATACGCCTAAGCGATCTAGAATACGCGGACGATATCTGCCTATTAGGTCAGAGGTTTCAAAATCTGGCTTACCAATTGGAAACACTTTCCACTGAAGCCAATAAAATAGGTTTGAAAATCAATATTAGTAAAACTAAGTCCATGAGAATAAATGCAAGGAACAACACGCTATTTACTATCGACAATATGCAGATTGAAAGTGTGGAAAACTTTATGTATCTTGGAAGTGTCATAACAGAAAACGGAGGTACAGAAGACGATATTCGTATGAGGATACGAAAAGCTTAACAAGCCTTTGTTAAGATCCAAGGTAACAAGTTACCCTGTTTGGAGATCTGGCGAGTATACTACAAGGACAAAGATCCGAATATTCCGATCAAATGTCATGTCTGTTCTACTTTACGAATGTGAAACCTGGAAAGTGGCAAACACCCTCACAGACAAACTGCAGGTCTTTGTTAACAAATGTCTACGAAGAATTGTCTGCATATTCTGGCCTAACACCATCAGAAACGAAGATCTGCTACAACTGACCGAACAAAAGAGGGTACAAAATGAAATTAAGTCCAGAAAGTGGGGTTGGATCGGTCACACACTCCGAAAAAATAGTTCCAGTATCACACTAGACTGCCCTAGAGTGGAATCCCCAAGGGAAAAGAAAAAGAGGTCGCCCAGTACAAACTTGGAGAAGATCCATCATGGAGAGATAAGAGGCCAAGGAAAGTCTTGGAATGAGGTGAAGGCCTTAGAGCAAAATAGAACCCGATGGCGCGTTTTCACTGAAGCTCTATGCTTCACTTAGGAGTTCAAGAACCTTATATATAGTAACAAACCGATAAGACCCGCTCGGGTCTAAATGATTATTATATTAAATTGATTCGACTGTGGTGCTTAGCACAAGAGGAACTTCAGTTTCAAAAATTGTATTTTTTTGTTCGAAATCAGTCTGTTTAATTAAAGTTTACCTCCTGTGTGCACTCTCAAGTACTTTTTACAGAAAACGGCTTCAAACAAATTTCACACACGTGAGATTTTTCTTCAGTGTGTGATCTCAAATGTACCTCAAATTCCCTGTTAAAGAAAATCTCTTTCAAACAAATTTCACATTTATAACGTTTTTCTCCAGTATGTGATCTCAAATAAACTTTTAGACTACCTTTTAGGCAAAACTTCTTAAAACAAATTTCACAGCTGTAAGCTTTAACTCCAGTGTGTGTTACTGAATGATGTTTCAAATCACATGATGTGCCAAACTGTTTAAAACAAATTTCACACTTGTAAGGTTTTTCACCAGTGTGAACTTTCATTTGTTCAATTAAATAACCATTTCTAGCAAACTCCTTAAAACAAATTTCACACACAAGGTTTTTCTACAGAATGAGTTTTCAAATGATGTTTCAAAATATTCGTTCGAGAAAACTGCTTAAGACAAATTTCACACTTATAAGGTTTCTCTCCAGTATGCAATCTCATATGATGTTTTATATTAGCTGCTTGAGAAAATTGCTTAAAACAAATTTCACACTTAAAAGGTTTTTCTCCAGTATGTGTTCTCAAATGAATTTTTAGACTGGCTTTTAGAGTAAACTTTTTGAAACAAATTTCACAGCTGTAAGCTTTAAGTCTAGTGTGTGTTATTGAATGATGTTTCAAATCACATGATGTACGAAACTGTTTAAAACAAATTTCACACTTGTAAGGTTTTTCTCCAGTGTGCGTTCTTAAATGAGTTTTCAAAATATGGGATTGAGAAAACTGCTTAAAACAAACTTCACACTTGTATGGTTTTTCTCCAGTGTGAACTTTCATATGTTCAATTAAATAGCCTTTTCTAGCAAACTCCTTAAAACAAATTTCACACTTGTAAGGTTTTTCTCCAGAGTGAGTTTTCAAATGATTTGTTAAAATATGTGTTCTAGAAAACTGCTTAAGACAAATTTCACACTTATAAGGTTTCTCTCCAGTATGCAATCTCATATGCTGTTTTATATAACTTGCTTGAGAAAATTGCTTGAAACAAATTTCACACTTAACAGGTTTTTCTCCAGTGTGTGTTCTTTTGTGTTGTTTCAAATTATCTACCTTAGAAAACTGTCTAAAACAAATTTCACACTTATACAGCTTTTTTTCAGTATGCAATCTTAAATGTATTTTTAAATTATGTGCATCACTAAACTGTTTAAAACACCTTTCACACTTATACGGTTTTTCTCCAGTGTGTACCGTCAGATGTCGTTTCAAATTATTCGTTTGAGAAAATTGCTTGAAACAAATTTTACATGTGTAAGGTCTTTGCTCAGTCCTACCTTTTATATTTTTATTTAATATTTTGGCTTCGAAGTGTCCATCCTTGACAGGTGCAGGTACAGTTTTCACTTTATTCTCCTCCTGGGTAAAACCTAAAACACAAATGAATTTAAATGTTTTACTGGAAGGAAACAATTAATGCGGACACAAAGGAATGTAATAATCGATTAAAATGACTTGAACAGTGGCCAAAAGATCTGAAGAATGTGTAAAAGCTTTATTATTTGAAGCACTTAGGCAACGTTAAGCCCACAACTCACGTTCCAACGCTGCAAGTAAGATTTTGTGGAATGCTACAAAATTGAACGTAATTTGATCTTGTATTTGCAACATTTGACCAAATCGGTGCGATTTGACTGCAGACAAATCAGTCTGCAGAAGTATGTTTCAACCATTTTACATGTTTTAATTTGTATGAAATAGATTGGTGTCTTCTTACACCACAGATCTGACGAAGACACGAATTTTGAACCACCTGAATTCTTCTCCTGTCATCTGAACTAATACAAGGCCCATACACAACATCTCCATAGGTAAATTTTGATGATACTAAACTCACACAGTATTCTTTTTACTTTGTATGACAGACAGCGGTGATTATGATAAATTGTTCTTAGACTGAGAAATGCTTTACTCACACACGTGTTAATATGTTTAGTAAATTTGAGTTGATTCTCTAAAGTTAAACCTAGATTTTTTGCGCTAGTTACAGGTTTAATGATCTCATTATCATTAACTATTTCAATGCTGCTACCCATCTCCAAACATACCCTGTTTGGACCAAAAACCACCAGATTAGTTTTTAGATTGTAGGGAAGAATTTTTCTTTTTCCCAGCAGGAAGTTTTCTTCATAGCGGCGTCCAAAAAGAAAATAGCTAGAGATAAATCTTATCTGCCATATCTTATTTCGTTTTTTGACCCAGGAGATTTATGTAAGTATCCCTTTGTTTTCATTTTGTAGATACCCCAATCTGACCCATTTTGTTTCAACTTATCTACGACCCAGCTCTACAACAACCCTCTGAGTGCCGTACGCACTAGTTTTGATTATTTTGTTTGCCCAATCTTCTCCACCATGTTCTTACCCTGATGTAAGCAAAATATATCGTTACAATTTAAACAGGAGAAACTTGAAATAAATAGAAATTTTTTACACAATACATCTTACAGGAAAAGGTGCCACTTTTACAAAATGAAGTAATTATTAAATTGGTCTAATAATATAGTTTTGATGTTTAATTGCTAAGACAATATGTAAAAAGAAAATATGTTCAGAAAAAAAATGGAAATATATTTTGTCTTCATTATTATAAAAAAACATAACGTCTTGCACCACATAAAAATCATTGCACAATCATTAGTAAGTGAAGCAGAATTTATTGATATAGATTTCATCTCCGTAAACATGGTTCCGGCTTATTACACTAGTACCACAAATTATTACTATTAGGCTTATTACTAGGCAAATGTATTAGTTTGGATATAGAGAAATTTATTCATCCAATTCAAAATTCTCGTGATTGTCGACTTGCAAATACTGTGCCACCTTTTTAATATCTCTGAGTAAAATATTTATAAGTAAAAAGTGATAAATTTAAAATTAGCGCGATGTTGAGAGATGGTTTAGAGAGATCACGAGACTTGCTCCAGTGGAATTTATTTCACACTACTATAATGTGTATCCTCTATATTTTCTGGATAGGTATATAACTGGTGTCTGGTGTCATTTTATTCAGCAAAGAATATAGACGCTTGGTAACAGTGTTACTTACCTTCGTAATTTCTTGTTTGCTGTTCTTCAAATAGTTTAAATTGATATTCATCTTGTTCTACTTCGGTGTTTTCCAAGAATTCTAAATACTCAAATTCATCAAATGTATTTTCTTGCTTGGGTTCATCCTTTATTTCTATTTTTAAGGTAGTCAAAGAACCATCATAAGCCTGATTATTATCTCTTTCTATTTTATAAATTTTCTCACTAATAACGTTTTCTGTTGTTTCCATACTTTAGTTTTATATTTACACATACAAACAACCAAATCTGTGTAAATTGTAATGAGAAACCAAATCAATAAGACGAAGAATGTATTATTTAGATTATCATTATTAGATAAATACGGAATACGGACGATTTTCACATTTGGTCCCATTGAATATAGCCACAAAGGAGCTGTCAGTTCAATTCATAGAACAAATTTTTGACGTTTGACAGTGTTGCCAGGTTTTTTTTAATAAATCGGGAAAGAGTATGGGATATATAATTAAGAAAAATTCAATATATTTCTAAATTAAGATTTATTTAAGATTAATTTATACAATAATAGTAGAATGGCTAGCCAATACCAAAGAATAATAGACGCTTATTAATATTAATCTTCCCGATTCGCTAGGCAGGAAGGAGCTCACAGCTGACAGCAGACTAGCCATAACCTTGACAGCAGACAGCATCAGCATCGCCATCATACCAATATACCAATGACCAATACCAACCACCAACCAAACGTGACCAAACCAGAGAACTACGAACGCAGTGTACCAAACGACCAAACCAAGCTTGTGCTCAGTGGCGGAGCATGTAACAAAGTAACAATAGGTACAAGTATCCTAAAGTCAGTAGATAGTCACCGCTAACAAAATTGGTATTAAAATCATCAGCAATATCATTTTGATGATTTGTATTTTCAATAATTTTATTCATAACAGGTATTAATGTATTATTTTTATAATCAAAACACGTATAGAATTGATATAGAACAATAAAGATCCTATTAATATTTGATTTGTTGTTAGAGTCTTGAGATGGACAAATCAGGGCTTACCCGAAGCAAACAGCCAAGTCTCAAAAAAATCTAACTGATCCGAATCTCAAAATTAAATTTAAATAGTCATGGATCAGTAACAAAAGAACGGCGTCATCTGTGATTATGAAGTGTTTATCGAGAGCGCGAGCTGTCAATCGAATCAAGTTTTGTTCTTCAAGTAATTTGTGATCTTATTCCTTTAAAGGAAATGTGAATCGTGAAACTGATAATTGTACTGCTAAAATAATAAATTTGGTTTGCATATTGCGTATGATATCTGTTGACCTGTGATCCGGTTGATGGTGAGGTTCTTTTGTTTATATGTTTTAGTAATTGTCGTAATTTTTTATCAAATATCTCTAAACAGATGAATTAATAATAATGACCACGCATTTTCATATTTTCAGAATTCCTTCATTTTCTACTATCCCCCGAAAATTCGGCATCGATGAATCGATGTGCAAATTGATTTTGACATTTGACAAAAACGTCAAAACGAAAACGAGTGTGAACGAGTGGTTGGATAACAAAACAAAAAAAGTTTAAGTTGGAGTAAGGTTTATTATATAAATATAAGGATAAATAAATATATAAATGATATATAACTTATGACTAAAATAACAAATTTAAATAAAAATTGTGCCCTCCTACTACAAGAATATGTCAAGTGTTTTAGAAAATTTAACCATTAATGTTGGAAATATAATAAAATACGGTTGCATGGCATACTGTACACTTCGCTTCGGTGGTGATTTTGTAATATGTTCCGGTCCTTCCATGGAACCGACTTTACATTCCGATGATGTTCTATTGACAAAGCACGTTTCACCACTCAGAGGAGGCATAAACAAGGGAGATATTATAATAGCTAAATGTCCTACCAATCCCAAACAACAGATCTGTAAAAGAGTAGTGGCCCTTCCTGGGGAGAAAGTAAAAACTGGCTTCAGAACATACAAGTATGTACCTCTTGGTCATGTATGGCTGGAAGGTGATAATGTCAATAATTCTTTAGATAGTCGATCATATGGAGCTTTACCTCAAGGATTAATAAAGAGTAAGGCTTTGTGTAAAGTATGGCCTCTTCAAGACATTACTTTGTTCACTAAATAATTTATATGGACTTTGTGTGGTATTTGGAACATTTTTAAATAAATTATATGATAAATGACAAATGTGGTATCTCAGATTCACCCAAAAGCAAGTTTATTTTAGTAAACCAATAGCTTCTGATAGGTTTATCAACTACCATCCATTTAAATACAAAATCAACCTCATCCAAGCCCTTAGTCACACAGGTCACACAGGTTAATACATGTGGTTAATCAAAAGAAATCCCTTCTTTTGTTAAGAAGTATTTTTGTGGAACTCCTATCCTCTTTTCTTAATAAATAAATATCTTTAAATATGGAACATACATGAACCAAAATTCACAGAAATTAAGTAATGCTTTTAAAGGCAAAAATAAGCTATTAGTAATGGTTTCCTTGCATTTTTAATTATATTTTTACACACAACACTGACTTTGTAATCAAATAGTACAATACTTTCATTTGAACAGTTCCTTTCCACATAAAATAAAAAACAGAGGTCACATGCTGGTGTTGTTTGGCCTATTGCAGTTTCTTTTAAGCTTTTGTGTGGCAAGATTTTTTTCATAGGTTGACAACCAACCAGGTTTCTTTCTGGCCTGTTCTTTTGAAAAGATTTTTTCTTTATCATTTATTCATTTTAGTCAGATGTGCTGATTTAAGAACAGTGTGAGGAGTAGTGAAAACTTTCCAACACAACTTGTTTCCAATGGCTAGTTTTTATGGATTTTTATTTTATTAACTACAGACTTTGAAATTTGTTTTACCATTTTTCTGGATGAAAAATAAGTTTGAAACTTTATGCACTCAAAAAAACAATTTCGAATTTGAATAGTCTTCAATAACTAAAATCCTCTCATTAAATTAAACAGAACAGTTTTCAATTGCATTTTACCTATTGATTATATGAAACAGGAAAAACACAAAGAAAAACGATTTGCAAAAATTTAAATGATCTAAAAACATGACATCTGTAGAAGATGTCACCATGAGAGCAGCAGGCTAAAAACTGTATTTTACTCCATGTTTTTGACAAATAATGCAGCCTAATAGTGTTGTGACATTATTTATCTATGGTTGTGACTGAAAAAAGCTCTAGTAACCTAATTAGAAAATACAGAAGTCTGTGTAATGTACACCAAAATTATATTACAATATAATTAGTATACTAGTTAGTAGTATTAGTGTACTAAGTTTTGATAAAACTGTCTACTGATATAATTTGTTAAATAAAAGGGTAAGACAAATTTCACAGCTTTAAGACAAAAGTGTATTATTAAATGTCGTCCAAATTTTATGCTGCATCAAACAAATTTCACATTTGAAAACAGACATTTTCTCCACTGTGCACCTTATAAAGTATTCTCAAATATTTGAGAAAATTGCTTCAAAAAAATTTCACACTTTTGAACTTCAAATGTATTTTCAAACATCTTACATCACTAAACTGCTTCAAACAAATTTCACATGTAAAAGGTTTTTCCCCAGTGTGCAATATTAAATGGGGTATGGATATATATATCACTAAACTGTTTAAAACACCTTTCACACATATAAGGTGGTTTTTCTCGTGTGTACCATTAGATGTTTCCAATTATTGGTTTGGGAAAACTGATTAAAACAAATTTTACATTGGTAATGTCCTTGTCCAGTTCCCACTTTTATATTTAAGATTTTTCCTTCACAGTGTTGTTGACATTTACAGCTTCTTTTGAGATCAATGTGCAGGTAAAGTTTTCATTTTATTCTCCTCTTGTGTAAAACCTAAAATACAAACCAGTTATAACAAACATTTTACTGAAAAGGCTTTTATTCCTAAGCTTATGCCTCCATGCGATATTATTCTTTACAATACATTATCAACTTAATGCCTATTGTTTTTCTCTTAGGACAAAAGGCTAACAAGTCATTTATATAATAATTTCCTGAATATATAATGGCTGTCATTTTATTGTATCAGTGTTACTTATTAAAGTAATGCTTAACAATTACCAAAAAAAGTAAACAGTTTTTATAAGTAAATAGTAAAATGTCAGTATAAATAATAAAGTTAAAAAGACATCTGTTGCAATTAATATCAACCGCAACAAATATTAATTCATTAATGTTTTATATAAAGTATAAAAGTGCAGAATCCATAAAATAATATAATAAAAATGAACATTTTAAAAACTTTGATCTCTTTGTATTTGCGGCATATAACATTATAAAGACATGGCAACACTGCCAATGCAATATTTCGTTCTATGAAGCTTAAAGGTCAATTCAGACACATCAGTCACGTCTCGTCACAGTGATTGCGCCGAATCGGACAATCCGTCATACAAAATATTCTTTAATACAAATATGTTGCCGGCATTCACACTCATCAGTTGACAAACAGTTTCCCAGCTGTCAGATAGTTGATAGTTCTGTGACCAAATAGGACCGGTTCGGTACCGTGACTGTGACGTGACTGATGTGTCTGAATCTACCTTAATTATGCTAATTTGAGACTATCTTCACTGGGACGAAACAAATGTGAAAAATGAAAAACGTCCTCTACAAATTCTTCATTTGTTGTTTGCTTTTATTCGAATATTTGAAACTTATATTCATCTTGTCCTACTTCAGTGTTTATAGGGAATTTATTCAATTCTAATACTTAAATGTATCAGATGTATTTTCTTGTTTGGGTTCCTGTTTAATTTCAATTTTGATGGTACGCAAAGGATCATCACACGCCTGATCATTATCTCTTTCTATTTTATAAGACTTTTCACTAGCTTTGTTTTATTTTCATATTTCAGTTTTATATTTACATCCAAAAAACAAAATGTGTGAAAAATATATGATGTCATTCATATAGGGTGGCAGTGAATAAAATTAAAATAGCTATGATGGTAACCAACGTTCTGAAAGGACATGGTACATGAAGAAGAAGAAGATTCATATAATATACATTTATGTCATAAATTGCAGGAACCCACCCACGCAGAGTACCCCATTAACCAATACAGGCAATACAGCATAATATGCATAAAATAATGCGTCCATACTTGTTGTTAAATAAATAAATTAATGTTAAATAAATGTAAAATAAATTGGCTTATGAATGAATGAAGTAAAAAGGCAGATTTATAAACTTTCCGTTGCCCAATGACGTATGCCGTTAGCGTTAGACATAATGTCATGTCACATCGAATTAGTAATTTTTCATTTTTCTGTGGTGCTGTGTTTTGACGTTTTGATTTGATACCTTCCGACCCGTCCTGCCGTGCGTTATATGAGAAGAGAAACACCAAGCAAAAACAATACGGAGTGTTTTGTTTACTCATTTATATAAGAAATTTAATCAAATGGAAATAAAACAAGAAGTTAGTAAGAAGAGTTGTAGAATAGAAATAGACGATAATGAAACATATTTTGATCCTTCCGATACTATCAAAATTGAAATTAAGGAAGAGCCCATGCGAGAAAATGCGTATGATACATTTGTTTATTCAGACTTAAAGAGATATCCTATAAAGACGGAAATAGAAACGGATCAAGATAAACTAAAACATGTTATAAAGACGGAAATAGAGGCAGATCAAGATAAATCAGATGAAGAGAAACAAACAAACAAAAAAGGTAAATAAAAAATATTTCTATTTATAGTCACACCTGTAACTGTTACTTCCCACCCTGGCCTCAATTATCATTAGGACGTATATCTAAAGTTATAATTTTTTAATATGATTAATACTTAATTGACAATTAATTTGAGTCTATTTTCATTGGTCCTTCAAGACCAAAAATGTGAAAGATGTTGATTTTATAAATAAATTTCTATTAAAAACACCAATAGTGTAAGAATTGTTTCTTTGTTTTGGATATCCAAAACCTAATTAAAGTCATTTAATAAAAAAATGAATGACCATTCTTGATATACTAAATTTTAACAAGTTTTCTATAATTTCTTTAGTAGTACCTAGTTACCTAGTTAAGTCTCTTTTTAATACAAAGTTTAGATTTGCCTGCTTCGATACATATATTGTTAGTTTGTTTTTGTTACTAAATATTTATTCTTTAATAGATAATCATAATTTTTAGCATATCGTGTATCAATATACAACTTGTCCAAATGATATAATAAAAGATAATTCTGATGGAATTCCCCAGATTAAGAGACTAGTGTGATATCAAGCACTAAATGACTGTATTTTCTTAATGTTGTAACAAATAGTCACCCTTGGTCTTTCGTTGCATTAGGTTCAATTTTTCTATCCAAAATTTAAAGGTACTTTACTAAATGATACAAAGTAAATGTAGCCAGATACATATTTAGGATGATTTTCACATTTGGTCTTATTGAAGATAGCTTCAAATCGGTTTGACAGAATGAAATATTGTTGTTTCTCAGTGTTGTTTGAGGGTTCTGACTCTATTGCCAAATCTATCCGCTAACCTATCAAGGGGCAATTGCCAATAAAATTTTCTAATAATTTATTACAACTAATATCAAACAAAACAATATTACTTCATTAATATTTTATATAATGTATAAAATTGCAGAATCCATAAAATAATATGATAAAAATGTACCTTTTAAAAGCTTTATCTCTTTGTATTTGAAGCATATAACATATACATTATAAGAACATGGCAATACTGCCAACGCAATCTTTCGTCAATTTCAATTTTGAGTTGTTAACGATTGGTAAATAAAATTTTAAGAATAATTTTGTGTACCTATTTAAATTTTATAAGTTAATTGCATTTATACTTGGAATGTAGAATTAAAAATTTCTTGGAATTTTATTCAGGTAAAAGGATAATGTTTACTTAATATTAAATTATAATAAATGGGATTCTTTTAGAAGAAAGTTTATTTGAAAATAACCTCATTTTTCTTTTGTCGTTATGATTAGTGACGATGCCCTGTACATTCCTGCCACTATTTCAGGAAGTGAAGACAAGTCTGAACTGAACCTTTTTTTTTTTTTTATTAACACATGCGCGGTGTTTTTATACTGCTATCTGGTCACAAATGATCAATTATCAGTTATTTTCTGACCTAACATAATAACAGCAAATACTTAAATCTAAGGGTTT